TGTGCACCCGCGTCCCCTCCGGAATGAGCCGCAGCGGCATCGCGTTGCCCGGCGTGAAGGGCGCCTCCTCGCCGCACTCGACCGTGTCGCCGAGCGAGAGCCCCTGCGGCGCGAGGATGTACGACCGCTGCCCGTCGGCAGCGTACTGGATGAGCGCGATGAAGGCGGAGCGGTTGGGGTCGTACTCGAGCCGCTCGACAACCGCCGGATCAGCGCGCCGCCGGTGGAAGTCGATCATGCGGTAGAGCCGGCGGTGGTGCGGTGCCGAGCGCCGACGCGTCGTGATCTGACCGGTGTTGTTCCTGCCCGCCTGGTGCTGCCCGGCGATGCGCGTCGTCAGCGAGGGCTCGGGCCGGCCGCGCCACAGGCCCGCCTTGTCAATGACAACGCGGTGCCGGCGGCCGGGGCTGGTCGGCTTGCACGGCTTGAGCTCGCCTATCCGCGCCATGCGCGCAGCCGCCGTGGCCATCCCTCGCAGCGGGAGGAGGCTGTCGAGGACGGATCTGCTGCTCGGCAGGTCGGCGGCGCGCCGCCCGAAGGCGGTGCTGGCCGGCGCCGCCCGCTGCGATAGTGCCCGCAGCAACATGCAATTTCCCTCGCACAACACTAGGCACGGGACTGGCCCGCGCACTGGCACTAACACAGGACAGCCGAAGTGACTCCTGCGAGAAACTGCGAAAGATATAGGAAGAGGTAGACGCGAGAGAGAGAGAGAGAGAGAGAGAGAGAGAGAGAGAAACAAACACTCTACCTTAAGCTCCTGAGGGGCGCGTGGTTTTAACCACGTAGTAGGACTACAGCCCACCACAGACACCCTCCCCCACTCCTCACGTGTGCTCACACCCTCACCCTCTCCTCTCTCCTCTCTCTCTCTCTCTCTCTCCTCTCTCTCCTCTTGTCTGTGCTGTCTGCCTGACTCAGGCACTCAATCTGCCGATGCGTGATTGTGTGTGGGCTGCTCCGAGGGGGCCCTCTGTGCGATCCGACGGGTAGGGGGGCTGTGCCCGGGCGGTGTCCGGTGTGGAGTCCCCTTCTGATCCCGCCTGGGATGTTGGGTGTGAGGTTGTGGCGGCTTCGATCCCAAGGGGGGGAGCTGATCCCACTCAATAACCAACTCTCAGGGGCAGTAGGTGGGCGAGCTTCAGGCACGCTCATCTCGAACGTCAAGGCGTCGCTACGCGCGGTCTTCCGCGGGGGGAGCTTCGTCGACGGGTGCGGGACCGCGGCGCAGACAGTGCTGCGGCGATGCCTCCGGCTGTTTGCGGCGGGCGGCTTGCTGCTCGCTGCGATGGCTAAAAACTCGTCTCGTCGCACACCAAGGGCGTATGCTCTGGCGAGACGTGAGGCGCATGCGCCCAGCGCAGGAGGGAGTGGCTGCCCGTTGGGACGGAGCCCCACCCAGCCCTTGCTTGTCCCGAATCCAGCCCCTGGCGGTTATAGAGACGGGAACGACCGACGCGCGAGCAGCAGGCGAGAGCGAGCGAGAGCGTTCAGAAAGAGAGAAAGACCAGAACACAACGCACTCTCTCACATGACAAGCGATCCCACGACTGCGAATGTGGGGACTACATGATTACATGAAGGGTGGAGGGGCCCGTCC